GGGGGGGGGGGGGGGGGGGGGAGAGGAGATGTCCGCCCGGGGAACGTGGGGCCCAGAGACTCACCGGGATTCCTGAGCCTGGTCCTCCAATCCTCCCCTCCTCTTCCGAGCACAGGGGGTTATTAGTCGTTGTTTTATCTTACCAAAGTCTGTAATTAAATTTGATTCTGAAGAAACTTCAGGAAATAACTCCTTCTTACAGCAGAATGTAAACTAGCCACTGCCTGGCTAGGTTTAGAAGGGAAAACAGACGGTTGCAAGTATGTGAAAGGGAACAGTTACTTGCCTGGGAACTCTTATTGATGAGGGAAAACAGAAGGCTGAATTTAGGATTTTTAAGATTAATTGAATAGTACTGAAACTACATAGGAAGTCTTGGGAGGATGCTGCAATGGGATCTTTCTGAAGTAAGAGCACACACTGTATCTACACGTACAAATAGTTTTATTACACTCCTTAACAAACTTTCACTACGGGTGAACTGAGCCACGACTCAACTTTTGTTTCTTTCCTTTTGGTAGATTCTGGTTTCAATCACGGATCCGATTTCAGGCCTTAACACACACACACACACACACACACACACACACACACACACACACACACACACACTCTCTCTCTCTCTCTCTCTACCTCAGGGAATTTTTATAGTTGCATACTGAGATTCAAGTTGCATAAGGGCCTATAGGTTAGAGTCACTCGATTTGCATAATTAAGAAAACTTTTTGAAGGTTAGTTTGAGCATTTTGTGGACTATGGATTAAAGTAACTCTTTGGGGCAACCTTTCCCCACTTCTAGCTTCCCCATTCTGTAATGCAGCTTTTTTCTTAGTTTGCATATCTGAGTGATTGAATAGTCCTTCCAGCCCCCCACTCCCAGCCGTGGGTGCAAATCAAAAACATTAAGATCTGATTTCTCTATTTGTCTCTCTTTGCTATGTCTCCCCCTAGTTTAATTTACAGCTTCAGATACCTTTCAGATTTTTGTTGATTCACCTTCTTGGTTAAAGTTTATTCACGTGTGTAAAGTGGAGTGTCACTGTGATAAATGACTGGAGGGGCAGATTACTGAAGATAGGGGGATTAATGGTCATTAGTCACTGTTTGAGCTGAGTTTGTATATGNTAATTTACAGCTTCAGATACCTTTCAGATTTTTGTTGATTCACCTTCTTGGTTAAAGTTTATTCACGTGTGTAAAGTGGAGTGTCACTGTGATAAATGACTGGAGGGGCAGATTACTGAAGATAGGGGGATTAATGGTCATTAGTCACTGTTTGAGCTGAGTTTGTATATGTTGAGACATTTTATCATGGCTTTAGATTAAAGATAGGGTCACACTAGTAGGGTATCACTGAAAGCTGGTCATGTCAGCATACAAATTCTGTCTTCACGTGGAGAAACGTCTGGGGGTGTACTGTCCTATCAAATTTAATATTTTGATTTTGATTAGTATTTAAAATCTGAGGGTTGTAATTTGAATAGATATAAGGCATTTATAATCTTAAACTGATTTCTGAGTTTGTTTTTTCTAATTTAACCTTTCATTTATGGCATCAATGATTTTTATAAACTTAAGTTTACCCTATAGATGTTTTTATCTACTTTGTTTGCAGGTTCTAGGCCAGAGATGTCTTTGTGAGGTGTTCCCTCATGTTTAATCTGAAGCTTTTTATTATTCCTCTGATAACTTTCACTCAAGCTGTGAATCTGAACTTGAGAGGCCAGTCAACTTATTGGGCTGCTAGGGTGATTTCATGACAGTGTGCTGTTCCAAAGCAACACGATTGATTTGAAAAAAAAATTCACAAAACTCAGATCAGTAACTAGTAACTTGGGTGTGCTCAAGACACCTGGTCAGGGAATGAATGAAGTTCTTGAAAGATTGTGTTTCATGTCTTGCCTCAAGCCTAAGATCACAGTCTAAAACTTGTTAATGGAGTGTATTTAAGAGAAATGTGGTGAGCTTAAATAAATCAAAGTGTACTGAGGGGGTAACGTAACTTCAACAAGATTTAACCTGTAGAAGCATCTATTGGTTGTCAGTTCTTTTTACTTTTTTTCCTTTTTTTTTTT